GTTAGAAAATCGATTACAACGAGAGAGAGAGAGAGAGAGAGAGAGAGAATTTAGTGGAAATATTCTGTATAACATGTAATATAAATTAAATTGAAAGGCAAGTATTGTTTAGTGAATTTCATTGCAATCGTATAAACGAAATGGTATTTCACTAAAAATATATATGTTTTGAACACATTTTTCTGGTATTATTAGTGAACGAATACTTTGTACCGAATAGTTGGATGACATGTATCCACACAAATACCAATACATGTATTGCACGAGTGATTAATTACAGATAATATTTGGTACTAACAGTTGGACATGAAAGCGATGTCAAATGAAATATTGCCTAAATTGTCTCTCATTGAGCTTTAGGCGAACCAAACCAATCGTATGACAAATACTTTATGGCTTACAAAACATATTTTATTTATTGAAAATTAAAAACGTTATGAACGACAGAAGACATCGCTTCCTATATATAGATATCTCATCAAAAAATGTGAGCTCAGAATTAGACTCATATAATACATTACTGTATATATTAAAGGCATAGAATATCGTAGACTTTTTTAATATAAGCAATAAGTATTTCAATCAAAATATTGCAAAAAGTAAAATACAATAATGAAAAAAGTCTTCAATTTATTATTATAACAATATTTGATGTGAGAGCTAGAGATTGGCCGACGGCTTGATTGGAGTCATATTTAATGTCATTTGAATCACACATTCAGTGCACAGCAACTCTCGCACCAGAATCACAATCTCCAACGCCTTTAACCCAAAACACAATACATTCACTGATGATATACTTCAATAAGTAATATCGCAGACAACAAATTATTTTATATATAAGTTTTGGCGCAAAGAAATTACCATAAATTGGTTCAAATACTCGACAACTTTTTTTTTACTCTTTGCGCTTCAAAAGAGATTATTTCAAAAATGAGTTGCAATAAGAAGGAGAAGAAGAAAACAGTTGAGTCAAAGAAAATCAAGAATTTAATATAAAAAAATTATATATTCTATAAGTAAAAAACCATGACTTATATAAGTGTATAGAAACGAAAAATGTATGAAAAATAAATACAAGTAATGACTTCTATTCTTGGAGAGAGAGAGAGAGAGAGAGAGAGAGAGAGATCTGATGAATGAAAAGCTCATTTCTACTACAATTAATCATAAGATCAGTAAAAGGTTTTATGCGATTAAAAGGATTTAAAATAGGGATCAAAATATAATGAATTATTCTCATTAAGAGTTGTCATTCAATATTGAAATAAGATTTTAAAATTAATTTCCGTCACTAAATATTTAACTCAATTTTATGTGATATCCGTTTAAAATAGGATTTGGAAAACAAAATAAAAATTAACTTTGAATACCGCAAAAATCAATCATTTATTAAATGTTTTGTTCAAAAGCACATCAATGGATACGATATAATCGATTTTAAATTACAATATATTATGTATACAAAAATATTGAGTGATATATTGAATATAATAATATTGAAACAATCATTTTGTTTGTATTTATATATCAATCAATAAACGGTTGAAATCAATAAGTGGACAGACATGTGGTGTGGAGGAGAAGGCGGTGGCGGCACTCATAGTGTCTGTACTCTATTTAAAGCACAATTTAAAGTCTTTAAAGTCTTTATCAAACAAATTGGGTGAACGGCAGAGCATTTCAAATATAGTATACCATATATACAGCGAATATACAAACAATAACTTTCACTCTGAAAACTCTTTAACACTAAAATCGTATCAAATTATGGTTTTGTATTGAAAAGAAATAAGATGTTAACCGATGAGGACGAGTGTGTATGTGTGGGTCGTCATAGAAACAGCACAAATCGCTCCATACCTGTGATATGTATCCACCGATGGGTTAATTCAATCTATAGTTGTCATCGATGGCCGACCAGTAGTGCCAACACAACGATGTAAATCTAGATATAGACCAAAATAGAAAAAATATATTTAATATAAAAACAAAATTTACTAATCAATCGATAACTCATTAAAGTCTAAGTAAATGTAATAAATGGGAATTAATTCGGGATTACTTATGAAAACCCATTACCAGATTCTTATATTTGAGTTTATATTTATATATTATAGTTATAGTTATATATTAAGGGAATTCACAAAATTAGAGAATAAATTAATGTTGAAACTCATAAATCAATACTTAATATGTGTTTATTCCTCGACTCAAAAGATCAAACCTTTCCATAGATTGCAATATTCAAAACACACGCAGAATATAATGATATGGATATGAGAATTGCATAAAGAAGTAACGTTTTATTAAAGCCAATAACAGGGATAACATATTAATGTAGAAATCTATAAGTTGTATATAAACATCGCTTCACTATATATACTATTCAATGCATTCTTAAGAGAGTTGAGATGAAAGACAGACATGAAGTGCAACACCAAAAACACTAGTTATTTATTAATGCTTGAGATGAGAGAGAGAGAGAGAGAACTGTCGTTAGATTACATGTATGTGTAATTCACATGTAATAGAGGAATGATTGCAGGCAAAGCTTTACTCTACAACAAAGTCATCAACTATTTTAGTTTTCTAGAGACATATCCACTAACAAAAACATTGAAAGATGAGAGAGAGAGAGAGAGAGAGAGAGAACTGTCGTTAGATTACATGTATGTGTAATTCACATGTAATAGAGGAATGAGAATATGAAAAATATATTAGATATATATAAGAATTGCTAAGAAATACAATAAATTGTGACACAAATATTGAAAGCAATCGACAGAAACAAATGAAATGAGAGAATACTTTAGTGCCCGACATCTACTCATTCAATGCATACAACCGACAAAATAATATAATTTATTGAGTTATCCATCAAATACACAGTGAATTCCCGCTGTTTTAAGACGATTAGTAAACGAGAGAAATTTTGGTCGCAAATGTCTCCCAAATTTCTCTCTCTCTCTCTCTCTCTCTCTCTCTCTCGCTCTCGCTCTCGCACTCACTCATCAAAAACGCAGGTTTAGAAAAGAGGCTTAGATTCTAGTTTTTGTTGTACACTATCCATGAGTTTTTATAGATCATTAAATTACAACTATTACAGAGAAAAAACTATTAGATAACAGAATCTAAGAAACACTTAAAATCTATAATTTCTAGAAAATTAAATCGCGGCTTATATTAGACGTAAACTAACAATAACTGACCAAAACTTACAATAAATCATTAGCCCATTAGTTATCATTGGTTTTAATAGAAAATAAAAAATAATTGAACACACATTTAGTGAAAGAAATTGCTTTTGAAAAAATAATATTAAATATTTGGTTAAATTGTTAACACAGGAGAGAGAAAACACATTTAATTCTCGGTTCTCTTTGTGTTGTTTTTCACACCTGAAGAGACTTTCAAATGACTTAAGACTACACTTTTGATTAGATTTACATTTTCTTCGTGTGTCTATCGTTTTGAAAGCGGCAAAAACTATCTTAACTATCGATTTTCTGTTGGTCTCACAGTCTTATGTCGAGTTTATGTATGAAAATTGCTTTTTGTCTTTATATCCAACATTTTTTCGATCGCAGAGCAGAAAAAGACTGAAAAGACTGAAAGGAGTGTTTTATCTAAAGTTCTTGAAACTAATCAGTAAAATGCAGGCAAAGCTTTACTCTACAACAAAGTCATCAACTATTTTAGTTTTCTAGAGACATATCCACTAACAAAAACATTGAAAGATGAGAGAGAGAGAGAGAGAGAGAGAGAGANATTCACACCTTTCGATACGACTGTAAGGACTTCCAGTATTTTGCAACCAATCCTTCCTAATATACAAATATATTTCATTTCTCATTACATGTTATCAAATAGTGAGTGCGTGAGAGAGAGAGAGAGAGAG